TTCGTACAGTCAACTATGCTGTTCAAGTGGTACCCTTTCTAGGAATCGGCGTCTGTGCCAAAATGGTGGCAGCGTTGAGCTTATCGAAAGCGTGAACGATACGCCACTTACCGCTCGGCTTTCGGACACAAAACATGGATGTTGAATGGGGGGACTTGCTCTCACGCACCATTACTGCTTCGTGTTTTGCACGAGAAAAGGCGTTAATGACGCCACACTGCTCCTTGGGTAGGGGCCATTGGAGTGTTACGCAGTATTTGGCTCCCGGAACCAGGTCGATCTCATGACGCACACCTCGGTCCAGAGGTAGGACCGCATTTACTTGGCCCTGCAATATAAATCTATTTTGTTGGATGTGCTTTGAGATTTAAGAAATTCGATATAAGCGGTTCGGGCCCATCTATCCGATAGATACCGGTTACGGTTAACGGCATCTTCTTCTGTTGCACCAAGACAGTCTTCAACCGAGTTCTAATTGCCGTCACACTGTGCGTGCTGCACCTCCTCTTAGAGCTATGGATAAAGTTAATGTAAAATACAATTTGCGTCCGGCTGATCATGCAGCAACGAAATTATCAAGCGTTTAATAATGTGTTAGCAAATCCTTCAGCCACGGTACTTCCCTAGTTTTAAAGCCTCAAACACGGTAATGTAAGTGCAAGGCTCAATTTTTTCAAAGCGCTATTATGCATCTGCGTGCGAGCTTGTCGCTCAAAATGAAACCATACAGTACACATTGTTGTCAATATATCACCTTCGTACGGTCTTCAAATGTTTAACTCTTGCGACGAGGTAGGTGTCACCCCGCCAGAGCTTAAGTTTTACACAGGACTAGTGCCATCATTCCCGCGTCGTCAGCTTCTTTGTCGTGCGCGCAAGACCTTTCTTTTTTCTGGCTTGATTACTACATATATTTATTGCTGAGCAATATAAGTTAAACATTCCACAGCAAGATAACATACAACACAATAAAGCAACACAGTAAGCAACATACCTGTTCAAGCACAACTTAGAGTGTTACCGTGACCTGCAGCAGGTTCTCCATTAAGCATTTGTCTCCGATCATATCGTCGTCTTTTCTTCTTTGCCTGCCCCGACTTCATCGCCAACCTTTACTTCTACCTTTGCGACGCCTGTCTACGTCTTCTTCTTTGTCGTCTGCGCCTTACTCAGCGACGTTTGCTTCTCCAATGCCTGTTCTGTCTTGTCTTTTTCGGTGGTATCCGCGGCATGTCGGAGGTAAGAGCCTCTTGTGTTTGGATGTGCCCGCAACTGTGCCGCCAACGATTCCTGTGGCTCTATGACGCTTTAACGTTGCTAGTTACTGCCACAGCGACTTTGGCGGCGGTATTTGCTGCTACTTAAGCAGAGGGTACCTGCCGCTGCGTCGTCGTCATCCTCATCCACTAGACCCTGCATGTCTGCATCTTCGTGAACAACGTAATATACGGTGACATACAGGTCACTGATGCGGCCATCGTTGTCTACAGGGTGCTTTGGAAGCCCGTGGACCGCGCGAACGTAGTTTACAACCTCGCAAACCCTGCAGCGCCGTGCGAAAAAAACCATGCTCAGTTGACGCACATTCAAAAAAGGGTAATACACTCGCTGATATACCTTCAACGTCAAAGCTATTAATTCAAATTACGTGATGCTGAATGTGAGCTTCCAATGATTTACGGAAAACTCCCTCAAACAAACTATGCCAGTTTTTCTAGGCTTGCTCCCACTCTGGTAAATGTGTTATTTTAACTGCTGACAAAATCACCGCCTCCATTGTACTCGCTTGTATAACAATGCAAACAAATATGTAAAGTCGAACTCGATGGCCGCAAAGCCTCACTGAGAACTATTCGAACCCGCCAGTGTACCACATGAACCTACTGACACCAAACTCAAAAATGGCTCACTTTCGCTTTATGCGAGATTCTACACGTTAATGAGGTGCGTCTGCATACTCCAGTAAATACAGAATCCTCAGTGGGTATAAATTGGGAATGCGAAGAGATAAATGGAGGTCATGATGTATGCCTTTTCTTCGTCGTATGTATGTACGGCAAATTCATGCTTAAAATACTAAACCGTCCTCGTAGTTACCATTTTTCGAGCGCTTGCTTGCCATGAGAGTGATTATTCGTCGACTCCCCTTTTGTCTCTTATCGCTCCACCTTGCAAACCGCCTTGCCATTTAGTGATATTACTTGTGACCCGTTCTTCAGCTCTCCTCTGTTGTCGGCTCAACCTTTACATTACCCGCTCCAAAAGACGAGGACTTGTAGACTATCGCCTCGATCACCTACTGTCCACTGCCTTGCCTTATATGCTGAGCTAAAAAAAGACATACAATTATGGTTTCTGAATTCGCTACAGCTAGCGTAGTGGTACCGACAACATGACCAAGGGATATTGTGACGAAAGTTGCGCAAAGCCGTCGAGAATCTGTACCTGGGAGGTAGCGGACCGTCACCGCACCCGCCCGCGCTCGAAGCAAATCATGTGACTGTCATTGTTGCGGCCGAAGACATGAATAGACATAATGTGTGACGGGGCACACGGCACCTTGCACAGAGGAAGCTTGACTTCCAAGAGTATAC